ATCGTTATTGATATTATGGCAGAAACTGCTTATTAAAAAACTTCCTTTATGTATTTCTGCCGTTTAATGAATAGCTCTGTTAAGCGTCCAAGATTCGTCTTAAAGCGTATAATGTTTTCTCATTGCGTATTTCCTAAATGTTCTTTTTGTTGTTGTTGTTGTTTTGATTTTTCTGCTATGCATTTTTCGTTCGTATGTGTGTGTGTGCAAACTTTTCATATTCAAGTTATGGTTGTTATTGTTGTAAATAATGTTTTTGTGTTTTACATCAAATAAATGTTTAACGAGAGCAAAAAAACTTACATTTCACTGCAGTCAAGTGTCAAATGTTGTGCTAAATGACTTATTCGCACAAGAACAAATACTGATGCATATAAACATTTTCTATGTTTTTTTCTATTTTGTTTTTTTTTTTTTTTTGTTTCTTTTACACACATTGACATGTGTTTGAAATTCACAACACACACACACACACACATACAAAACATATACACACATGCACATTTCCTAGGTTTTCTTTTTTATTGCGACTACTACTGTGTTTGCCACTGGCTGCTTATGTTTGTTGGTTATATATATAATGGTTGAAAATTTTTCATAAATAATTTTAAACAAAAAAAAAAAAAAAAAGAGAAAAAAAGAATATATGAAAACGTGTTTGCGTCGTGTCGTCGACTCCTCTGCATGAGTATGTGTGCACATTTGCTAGTAAGTGCCTATGTACGTTGGTGATCTATGCACTTTTCTACGTATTGTATTTATTCATATATTTATGATAACCAGAATATAAAAAATTCATATTTATTCATTCATCTAACTCTACGCCTGAGTGCTATTTAATGTATATATAAATATATATTCACGCATACTTGCTCAAGATACAGTCTCGATTTTTCGAGTCCTTTTTAAATTTTATCCTTTTCAAGCACATAGTTAGTTTCCTAACGACATACGTATATTTTTTGAATATTAAAGAAAATTTGCTCTCACGAACTGACCGATCAAAGTGATAATAACAACAATTTTTCACTACAATGATTGCTTTAATAAGTTCTTGGCTGCGAAAAGATACCGTTACTCCTCAGCGAAAATATATGCATGCATCATGCATATGGGAGGCTGATCAAAATATAACGAGAAATTTTGATTTTTGTCAAAAAATAGTTAATTAACCTCAAGCAGTGGAACTTTCTTTCATTCTCTGCACTTTTGAGCCGACAATATAGGTCCACATTATATGTTCTAAACCAACTTCCACGTGTTGAGATAAAATCGTTATTGTATCTTCTAAAATTATTAAATGGTTTCGTGCGTAGGGTGATAGTAGGGTTTACTATGTTGTATTAGTTTTTGCTAGACCGCATTCTGCTTTGTAGGATGACTAATATTTTTTCGCTTCGTTCACGCATTCCGACTTCTTTGCATTGTTTGTGTGCACGTTTTGTTCTCTACTGGTTAGGTCGAGAATTTTAATAGCTTGAAAGCTTCTCAAGACGACAGGGACACATATTTCCCAAAAAATCATATATATGCAAACATTTTGTTTTTACCCCATACCACTTGTGATACAAGTACACATTGAGTTTATGGGGATGTATACAGAAGGTCCCAGAAGGACGTGACCCATTTTCCAATACACCGATAACCATTTGTCTATCTTTTTTTGTGTTTGGAATATTTTGGCGAAGGCTCGTACTCCGACATGCTTTGGCCCAGGAAAGAAATGCTATTGGAAATGGTTCGTATCGGACCAACTCCCATATAAAGCCTTGAACAGGTGTAGTATGTAACAGTGTTTTGATACGAATCCTGAAAACATAAACACAGTCAAAATTTTCATTCATTGCTTACTTTAATTTTACTGTCTTTTTGCTCTCTTCTCTATAAAAACCATAAAACATTTTATGAATAAACCCTTTGCTCAATTAAATATTTTTTTAATGCTTTCTATGAAAGAACGTAGACCAAGAAATCCGCTACTTTTTCTCTTATCATTTTGCTTTCACTTCGATTATTAAAAACTGTTTAAATTTTCTTCAAACCACTATGCTCCATCTGTGGAGGTAGGTAGGTAGGTTTTTTTTGGTATTTGTTTCTATTTATTTGATTTTCGCCAAGAATATTTTCATTAGAATCAAACATATATTTTATTAGAATCAAGTCCAACGTTCTGAATCCTTCAATTATTAGCTAAGACGAAGCAATTAGCTAACGCTGTGGACAAACTTTATCGAAAATGATTAGTAAAAAAAAAAAAGAAAAAGTTCAGACCAATTTACTACGTATACCTAGTACCGCATCACTCAATAAGTCTCCGATCTAATTTGTCATTTTCTCGCAAATTCATCATTCAAATGCACTTAGAATGCTTTTCATCGTTTGTCTCTTTGCAAGATAGCCCACAAAATATTGATTCGATAACTTTGCTGGCTTTGAAAGGCTTTCGCCCGTTGCTGTCGACTCAACTAGCAAACGATTTGACATTGGCATGAAATGATAAAACCATATTTCGTCAACCGTCACCGTGTTGCATAAAAAATGCTTTTATTTCGCCCCAACGGCTCCGACACGTTGCTGTTTTTGCTTAAAAGTGAATGGACGCGGTGTCGTCTTCGAATAGACCTTTCTCGCGGACAAATGTACAATAAAAAATAATGCTTTGCCTTCTGATATCTTTTTTAAAGTGTCAACTATCTAATTAAACTTTATTCTAGACTTTTTTATGTTTTCTGGGACAACTGCCGAATCCGTTCAGCCTCCTCGAAATCCTTAGGGCTTGTTTAAAATCAGCAAATCGTAGAGAAATTGTTATTTTCGATGAGATATCCTAAAAATCCTAAAGAGATATCTTAGAAATCCTACAGAAATTGTTCTTTTCAACGGAGAAGAGAAGCCGTCATATTTTTAAGGCAATATAAATATATTAATATATATATGTATATATATTACTCAATACGCTCCCTGTTTAAAATATATATATGGCAACATTTTGAAAGATTCATTTGACTTTTCGATAGTATCAATCTTCAAACGGTACGTGTCAAAATATCATAATATGCTGGCAATAAGTTTGCAAGTTACATTTATTTTAGTGAAGTTTTGCGAATGGAATTTCGTGTACTGATTAAACGTTGCTTCTCAATGGGAATGAATACCGTCCGCTCACATTTAACATTGGCTTAAAAAATGTGACAGCGTCTCTATTCCGTTGAAAAGAACAATTTCTGTAGGAAACATATATATATGTATACATATATATATACATATATATATATATGACCCTTAACAATCAAATGAGATAATGGCTGTCGTCGTGCTTTTATTTGGATGTTACCATGACGACCTTGCAACATTGTCCAGACCTGTCTCCGATTATTTTCCCTATCCATTTTATGATGAATATAGAGAAGATGAATGTATAGAAGATATGTTATCCGTGCTACTACGATCCCCAATGCGTACTTAAAAGCGTCATTTTATATACCCTCTACTGCGGTTGTTGTCATATACGAAAAAAAGAAGTAAGAAAATTATATTCGACTGTGATCGAAATGTTTATGCCCATCACCGTTATTCTGTAAAAGATTGAAAAAAAGGAAATAAATTTGAATATTACATGATATTAGATGGGCGTGGCTGTTTTTTTTTTTACTTTTGTAGAATAGCTCTATGAAAATTTACATCGTGTATTACAATGTCTCAGTTGTAATTCTACCGATATGCGAGCGTTCTAGGCGACTTCTTTGACTTGGTTGAGCCATTCGCGAGTTCTTTTGCAAAGTTTTAGGGGATAACTTTTTTCTTACGAACGGGAGAATGTGTACCATAGATATTACGTAATTGAACAGACGAGCAGCTGGATAGACGAACACATCGACTGGCTTAAGCGCGTTACGAACGTAAAGTTGGCCAAGTGGTTTTACATTTTACGGGGATTTTGAAGTTCGTACGGAAAGTAAAGATGTTTTCAGTTTTGGTTCTGTAGATGTGTTGGCATTGTAGACGGATTCTTTGATCTCTTTTGCAAGCTGGAAAACGATATCCTTTTTTTTAATGAACGGCACAATGTTTGCAACAAATGGACAGATAAGTAGAACAGATGGACATAGTTAGGTGATGAGCTTACATATTTAACGAAGTCTTTGAAGTTAGCTTCTGCGCGTTACAAAGACATTAAAAAAGATACAATTAAATTTTGATACCCTATAATGTTGGGTAGACGTGGTCAATTTTCTCCTTTCTGCACAGGTACTGCAGCATCGCCTATAGAAGGTACGTTCAAACTTTTGTAAATTTATGGGTAATTTTTTCCTCCTCTTGGCAAATAATATGGTACTGCAAGCGTGTTTTTCGACCGATTGGGTTCATTTTCAATAGCAGCCTGCGTGCAAGAACTTTCAATGTTTCTACCAAATTTAAAGTCGATAGCTTCAATTTTGCGGTCAGGTGCTTGTTAAGAAATGCTGGACAGACAGACATTCTTGAATTGTTTTAGAATTTGATGCAAATCAAGAATTTGTATATTTTGTGGCATCTCTGAAGCTTCCATTTGGACGTTGCAAACGTTTTGACAAAATGGCTAATATCCTTCATCTGTTGTTGATGGGTATCAAACCTAAACAAATCTCGTATAAAATATTATTTTACATTACTGTTATAATTAGAATAAAATATTTAAAAGTAATTGTATCTAACAAACTAACTGCGAAAACTGCGTCCTTAGTGGATGCTACGTTATTCTATCAAATCACACTCACTGATGAATGAATGTCTTTGCTTTATTTTCTTACTTAGCTTTGATTTTATTTAAGTTTGGTTTTTTTTTTCATTTCTTTTTCTTTTTTTTTTTTAATAATTATTTTTCTAATTTTTCTGGTGGTGGTAAAAAGTAATAGAATTGTAGTAAATTTCCAGAACACCTATCTATCTACATATGTTATATTGATTTATTAATTTGTATCTTTTTTGGTTTTTTTTTTTTTTTCTTTTTCTTTGTACAGTCAACAAACATACCACCGGTAATGCTACACATAGTGGAGATGGTAGCGTTATTGCCACCACAACACAACCGGATTCCGGTTATATAGCTTTGGTCGTTATCGGTAGTCTGTTAGGCTCTTCATTAGCCTTGGGAGCGGTAAGTTTTGAAAAATAATTAATTTTCATATATAATATAAACCGATTTTAAAATGATTGATTGAAATTGCTTTTCAGCTTTTATATCTTGGCTATCGTCATTGTAGCAGGCGATCGATTAATTCAATGAACTTTGAGAATCCTGTGTATCGTAAAACGACCGAAGATCATTTTAGTCTTGAAAAGAATCTACCGGTTCGCATGTATCCTAGTACGGTAGATGAAGAGGTAAACATTTAAATTTGATTAAGATTGAGATCTATATACAAAGAAAAAAAAGTAATGAAATATAAAAAGTAAACCTAAAGGGCAATAAATCGCCTCGCCAGCTAAAATACTTTAAGTAAGATTAACTATTAGGCTTTCGCGTATCAGCAGTTTACTGTAGTAGGTTGAATATTTATAACTGGTATTGGCTGAGCAAATCTGAATTTCGAGTTACTATACAATACGTCAAAAAAAAGAAAGGTTATCGTTCGGCACAAAGGTACCGCCGGTAAGGCAAAGTTCCACTAAAGACAAGCGTCTGAAATCGGTTTTGAGAGGAGCCTTATGCTTCCAGTAGCCAAGAATCAGTTATGCAGTAAGCATAAGCAGTTATAGAGTTAGCTTTAAAGAAAGAGAGTTTCAGAAATGAGACGCAGAAGAGACTGTATGCGTTGCCTTTCGTGTGCTTTTCAATAATCCGCCATATGTAAGACGCCCTAACAGAGAGAATAAATGGAGAATAAATGGCAGAAGACCGCAGAAGGCCGCAGAAGACGTCACGCTCAATGTCTTTCAGGGTAGACGACGCTTGTAGATTTTCGTCTTTCGAAAAGCAGCTGCGAAAAACGCCTTCTGGCACATAGGTTCTATCGGTTCAACTTTTTTCAAAACTCAGTCGTCGTGCGAATGTAGATGTTCCATTTAAATTTTGTGAAATTCAGTCGTTAATGATACGTTTTCTATTAAGTTTTCACACAGTCGGGCGACACGTCATCAGGATAATCTTTGTAATGGACGTTCCGCCCAATTTTTGATAGGATCAAGACTCAAGAAGGACTGACCACTTAAGATCTTCAAAAATCAATAGCCGGGAACGCCGCCTGCATAAGTATTCTTTTCAACCCTTTTTCCGTTAAAGGGTTAAACGTTATAAGTTTTCCTAAACTGTATTATTTGTCTGTGCGGAACCTTGCCATGCACACTCCTCAAGAATGACTCAAGATTTAAGATCTTCGAAAATCGATGCCGGAATAGGGGATTTACCTTCTGTTAAACATTTTTTTACTCAGATTTTCCAATATTCGGAATTCACTTCGTCCATTGCATTTTTTGTCAAGGGAGATTCGAACGAGGCGTCATGAGGCAAAATCTCCGCATAGACGCTTCGTTCAATTTGGGTCAAGAGTTACCAATTGGGAATGCTGCCATAGATATTGCTCAAGAGTGACTCAAGATTTAAGTTGCTTGGAGATCAATAATGAGAGGCTCCTTCTAGCACACACGTTTTGTTCAACTGTTATCCAAGATACATGCGTTTGGGACATCCCCATGGATGTTTCACTTCAGTGTACAACGATTCACTAAGTGAAGGATACTTTCTACATTAATTTTTTTTCAAGGGACAATGGAACAAAGTGTCATTAAGAGAAATTGTCCGCCTGGACGTTCTTCAATTTTTGCAAAGGGTTGCTTGTATCGGTTGCCACTAGAAATCTTTCTTCAGATTTAAGTTCTTCGAAGATCAATAGCAGGCGAAGCTTCCTGCTCAATTGTTTTTAAAACTTAGCTGTTGCCATATATGGTTCATTCAAGTTTTCCGAAATTCACTAAGTGGAGACACTTTCTGCATTACATATTTTTTTATAAGCGACAAACGAAAAAGACCTTACGCGCAAAATCTTCTCCATGGGCGATCCGCTTAGTTTTCCGCAAGGTTCATCTGTTCGCGATAACGACGTACATATTCCTTGCCTACCAAATATACCTCTATATATATGTAAATTTTCTTTTTTTTTTTTGCTTTTTTGAAGACTTAAAAGCCCGAGAAGGCAGAAAGCCGTTTCAAGTTTTCAGAGGATCAATCGCATTTAGAATTTAAGATTTTCTATAGTAGATTCCAGTCCCTACTAGATAGTTAAACTGTTATAGAAAATCCGATCAATTTATTTTCAGAACTCATTCGTCTAAGTTCTGTTACAGTTTTAGGAGGTCGCATAAAACATCTAAAAAGTTAGAAGAACCTATGCACAAGAAGTAAATTATGTTATAGAACAGCTAGGATTGGATTTATAATGCATCGAATTTTCATGTCAAATATTTAGTGAAATTATTTTAATACAAAGAGTATCATACGAGAATACGAAGAGTATAGATAGGGACTCCAGATGGTATTACGAAAAAAAATTTAAATCGAAATGCAAAACAGAATGCACTTTAAGGTTAAAAATTAACAGTTAAAAATTGATTCAACGAAACTTAACTTATTCACTCTCTGTGTTATCTATATATATATATATACATATATATGTATTTTTGTGTCTGTTTTTCTTTTCTTTATATATTTCTTATATTTCCGATATACAATTTCGTAGCTGCATTGTTCGCAAAGAAGACTGTTTGCGCAGTATTAAAGAAAATACGTAAAATAATTAAGAAAGAAATAAAAAAAAAATTTTACAAAAAAAATTCTTATGTTTTCTTAAATTTTATGTAAAATTGTTTTCTATATTTAAATAATGAAAAAGATAGAAAATTTTATTAATATTTAAAAAACAACTTTTTATGTACACTTAAGATTAAAATTAATAAATATTTTGAAACATATGAATGAAGAATATAGTTATAGACAAATTTAAATAGGTGTATATAGGTATGTGTACCTGTGTATATACATACTCACACATATTCATATATATATTTATTATATTATATATACATATATATACATATAGATATACATTTATGTATATATGCATTTATGTATATAAATGTATATATATATATATATGTATACATAAACATGCATATACACGTATATATATTCGTATATATATATATATGTGTACATATACCTATGTATATATATATGGGAATGTATATTTGTGCGTACATTTATGTACGCATAATTTACGCATGTATTTACCTGCATATGTATAGAAATATAGGGGAGTAAGGTAATTGAAAGAAAACAACATTCACACACATACACACATACGCATGTACACGGGTACATATATATACAATCTCCTCCCACCCTGCTTATGCCGAGCACAAGACGGCGGTGGAGAATATTTAAAATCTCAAGTAGCATTTCAATAAACAATACGTACTGTTGTTAAGCTTAAGATTTTATTAGTTATTCAATTTTTGTTTCCTCTTCTTGTTTCTTATTATAGCAAATCCTTTAGAAATCAAAACAATAATAATTTTAAGAAAGATTTTAAATTGTTATTGATTCGATTTCAGTATTTGTTGTAGCGGAAGAAATTTTAATTTCATATAATAACCTAAAGTCAAATAGTTAAGCTAGTAAATAAAAACAAAAGAAAAAAAAAAACGCTTTTTACAATAATTTATTTATTTTGTGTATTTTAAGTTTCGCCTTTTTTTCTTTTCACACAGTTAAAGCAATTGCCAACAGCAACAACAATAAGAAATTTTTTTTGATTTTTATTTTATGCCATTTAAAAATAAAAGAATAGTAACGGTGTAAATCACATCAGGTCACCACTGTAAAGGAAATATCAAATTTCCATAATAATTTCAGAGCAAGGAAGGAAATGCGAATCCGTCTTCCCAAACGACGTATAGTGCGACGAAGATTTGAAAGAAATAAAAGAATCAGCTCTAGTTTTGCGTTACTGCTTATCGGTCCGTCACGATTATGATATTCCATGACAGGATAAAAATGTGATCGTAAATTGTTCTTTAGAAAATCTTCAGAATTGATTTGTGCTCCGGACGATCATTAGACAAAATACAGCTAATATTCATTTTTCCGCTAATGAGGAATTCTATATAGTTGGAGGTTAAACTCTACTTCACTATTAATACTGACTACGCTTTAAACTTGAATTGATTTCCGCTTTTTGTTAGAGGTTCATTAAGGTCTACGGATTTGTTGTGTGGTAACACCTTTGAAAAACATATCACTATAGAAGTTTCTTAGTTAGTCTAATTAAAAGTTCTTAAGTGAATCTTAAGTAAGTACGAAATGCACATGGGGACGGAATGTTGTTTATGTTGTTTTATATTTGTAGAGGCTACTCTTTTTGCATTTTTCTTATAATATTTTTTTTAACTTTTATCATCTATTTATAAAGTAGGAACACGGGTTTAGAGTTATGTTAAGTTTAAGAGCAATCGATTCGAAAATCTCGTATATTTCCAGGTATACCGTAAAATAGGTGTGAATGCAATAAAATATCGCAAAGTTTTGTACGGAGAAGAAAACATATTTATAGAAACCAATTCAGGCATTTAACAGCTGGTATACGCATCATTGTTACCCCTACATGCGATTTACCTACCTACCTGGCTACATACCTACTTATGAGACAGGGTGCGAAAGTGACCAGCACCTAGAAGTTGGACTCGCCTTTAATTGTACCGATCGGTACAGACTCGTTCTGAATTAGTCTGCTCGTCTGCCCGTCTGTCCGCCTATTACTCTATTTGTCTGTCTGCCCACGTAATTTGGTGTCCAACCTACAAATTGCAATTAACGCAAGGGACGATTTTTCTTGAAAATAGTTGGGATCAGCACGCTTTTTCGATCACTCCCCCTATAACGTACTAGTTTCAAAAGTTGTTTCATTGCAAAAAATTTAAATTTTACAAATTTTCTCGACAAAACTCGCTAAGTAATAATAGTTTGACATTTTAAATTGATGTGAATACTTTGTCTTGGCTAAGGCAATTTTTTGAACCCGTTCTCACATAAGCGAACTGAGTCTTTATACTGTAAAAGAGTGCAGTTTCCTATGTTTTATAGTGAAAATTATTTCGCTATAGCAGATTGATAAAGAAATCAACCTTATCGAAGTTTTTTTATACCCTACACCAAGGGTAGATACAAAGGTATATTAAGATTGACTTGGGATAGAACATTCTTTTGAATCGATCTAAATTTATCTGTCCGTTTTATTGTCTTCAACGTACTTGCCGCAACTGCGGCTACACTGAATCTTGCTGAAAATGAATTGTATCAAACTACTCTTCCTACCTTTATATACAGTAAGTACTTCCTTATGGAAAAGATGCTATATTGATTTCCAAGCATGGCCTGCAACACTTCTTTCCCCAGAATTGCTGCAGCTTTTATACCCAAGTTCACTTATAGAGCGAAAGTAAATTAAGTTTGTACAGATGTGTATAACATTCAGATGGACTTGCGATAGACCCAAGTTTAACTGTACCAATCGATTTAAGCGTGTTTGTCCGTCTGCCCGTTTTCTTGTTTCCAAACCTTAGACCGCAAATTTTTGAAATATTTTGCTGAAATTTGATGCACTTATGTGTTTTGATTAAGGACAAGGAACTCGTTTGATGAAGAACTACATGGTAGTGTAGGGTGGTTTAATGGTGGACCATAACTCACTATAGGATTTTTACTTATTTTTATTTTAATTTTTTATATTTAATTTAATTATATATTTTTTTTTTAATTATATACATATTTTTTGGTTTATTTTTTTTTATTTTCAGTGTAAAGAACCTCTAAAAGAGCTGGGTACTGAATGTGTATAAAGATTTTTATGGCATATACACATTTATACATACATATATGTATATATGTGGAAATATTAAGCAAAGAAAAAGAAATTTTAAAAGACATTTAAGGAAATACTCTCACAATAACATTTAAGACTCAATTAATTTCAATCTTGATCGAAAGAGTTAAAGCGTAAAAGAAATAAAACTAACTTCAAGGCCATTCGACAGAAATTACACATTACTTTCAAATTCTGCAAAGTGATATAAATTCAACTTTAAAAAGGCAAAAAAAAACAAAGAAACAAACAGTGGCATAAAAAAAGAAAATTTTTTTTTCTAATTTTTAGGATATACACTAAAGCAAGCAGCAACCAAATACATATATCCTATCTGTTACATGTATACACCAGTACATCTACATACATATATCACTTTAAATTCACGCAGACAGCATGCCATAAACAACCAAACAAATCATTAACACGTAAAAGTCAACAGCTATCAACTTCATTTAAATGGAGTTTATTATAACAACATTAACGATAGTAATAATAATAGTAGCAACAACAACAACGGCGCCCCCAATACCAATAATAACAATGCCATCGTCGACAACACCATCAACAACAGCAGCAATAAGAACGACATCACCGTCAACCACAACAACAATAAAAATAGTAACAACAACAACAACAATAGCAATCGCTAAAACGAAAAGAAAAACAACTCTAGCAATTCATAAGGCGTTCCAGTTAAATTTTAATTTTTTTTTTTTTTTTTTTTTTGGTTTCTTGCAAATTTCTTCATCAATTTTTATAAGACGTGAAACTTCAACAATTTTGAAAAACAAATAAAAATAGTTTTTAAATTATTTATTAATAATAAGATTTATTTTGTCTGCAAAAAAAAAAAAGAAAAGGAATTTAGAATTTAAATAAAATTTAATAAAACTAATATACATAACAATAAATTTAGTTAAATATTTTAAATATTATTAAAAAGATATTTATATATAAAAATTAAAAATTTGTAAATATTTGCAAAAAAAAAAAAAAAAAAACAAACAGATTTTGTTACATTTACATGTAAACCTAACGTTTATAGTTTAAAAGGAAATATTAGTCAAAGTAGTTTAAAGAAAAATTGCTAGAATTTTCATATCCATCACTGGATATATATGTATAATAAAGATTCCACAAAGTATACTTCACCAATGTGAATAGTAAACAAGATCTGTTTTTGTATCTGTGCTTCTATGCGCCCGGATAGATTTTTATGCGTCCGTTACTGTGCCCTTAAGTCTCTTGTTTCTTCTCTGTGTCCGTCGGTCCTTCTGCTAAGGCTACGATTTAAATGAACTGAAACGTTGAACTCAAAGGTTTTCCTCTCATTATTCTCTGCCTTTTAAAAAAATCGATGAAAGGCTGTCAAAACCAAATCCTCCTTTCCTTCTTTTTCCAACTTAGAATTTTTAAAGAAAAGGTAGAAAAGAAAAATAGGTTAATACGCGGAGAATTGCCAATCAATGTTGTATAAACAAGGTTCATTATGAAAATCAGCTTTTGAATTCACCCAAACGCCTATAAGGTACTGACAAGGTGTATAATAAATGCGATGTTTACCATACGCTCTACAATGTGTCGCATACTATTTTTCATGTTCCTCTTCTAAATGTATTCGAGGAAATCTACGATCTATTTACACATTGTAAAGGTCATATACACGCCATGGTACATCATCATACAGGGAACATCAATACACGATACGAAACGATCCGATATACTGTATAGCATATATATAGCATATGATATACTACGAAGCATGTACGTTGTACAATATATAAAAATGATATGACACGTTGTGTCATATATGATACAATACGATACCCTATATATGATATTATATAAAAGGAGATGGTATAGATATATCGCATATGCTACGATAGCACATATCATATATGATATGGTACACAATATCGTGTGTAATATGATACTGTGTATAATACAATATGACATATCATGTATGATATTATATAATATAAAATTGTATGATACTACATATATTGCATATATGTAATATATGATATTCTGTAATACGACATGGTATAATGCGATGTATCGTACACTGTATGACACGTTATATCGTGCATGATATAATACTTTACATCGTATATGATATTATAAGTTAGATCGTATATATTATCATTACGTACATATAGCATATCATATGCGATACAATGTGTATTATCTTTACATATTATATACGAAATATCATAATCGTATCATATATGTGTGAGATACATCATATGTAGTATTATTTCCCAAAGCATATCGAAAGTGTTGCTACTATTAAA